TAATATTTTGTGACACTGCTGTTGAATTGAATTTTATATGGTGCGAAGAACATGATATTTAATAAATAAAGGTAGAACATAAAATGTTAAAAAAATGCCCCTTTGAGCGTAATATGAAATCTGAAAGCTTTCAAAGTTTATATTTTTTTTATTTAAACGTTTGATAAATATTAATAAAACATTTTTAAATCTATTTAAGAATCTCTCAATAGATACGCAATTTTTACTTATTTGTTATAAGTAAAATTGCGCATTTCGTGAAATTTTGTTTTTACGTTGCACCTCTGCCTTCCAACAATATGTTATAAGGTATTTCTCCTGCCTTCTTAGCGAGCCTTCGTGGTGTGGTGGTCTGCACACTGGGCCGGTATTACAGAGGTCCGCAGTTCGATTTCCGTCCATCTTTCATCTCACCGGCTTTTCCAATTAACCTAATGTCTCTACTGTGGCGCCCGAAGTAATAGGGTGGGGGATGACGATTTCTCCCCACCCAGGATTTGAATATTTTGTCCCCTAAAAACCCTAGTCGCCCTTTAAAAGAGCGAGTAGATAAGGTATTTCACCCGCTTTCTTAGCAAGCTTTCGCGGTGTGGTGGTCCGCACACTGGGCCGGTATTCCAAAGGTCCGTGGTTCGATCCCCGGCGAAGGCCATTGCTCATTTTTCATCTCTCCTGCTTTTCCAATTAACTTAATGCCTCTACAATGTACTTTGGATGAAAAATTTTCCTCTAACTCTGTTAGTTTTACACCATGATCTTCACCAAAACTAAAATTTAATGGATGTAATAAAATATTGTGGCAACATGAAATCTCTAGGCATTTGTACAGTTTCTTTCTAAATTTTATATTTAAAAAAATTTTGCTATGGCAATAGGGAATATTATTTTTTATTCAAAAGGAGAAGATACGAGTTTGGATTTTATATCTTTTAGTTTTCAGCGTATTTCGGTTGATAGAATTCTGAATCTGTACAGTTTATATTTAGTTTACATATTCTACATGCGTACAAACCGATATATCCCATAGTTAAAAGTTTCTTTTTTATGTATTACACACACGCAAAAGCAAATATTTTGGGAGTCGATTTCAACATTTTCATGGATTTAGACGTTTTGTCTTGGAATGGTACCAATTTATAACAAGTTCAGGTACCAATTAATATCTCTGAGATTAAGAATTGAAATTTTTTCCTCAACTTATTCTACCTGTGTTAATTTTACAACATGCGTATTTTTAGAATTGGATTTCTCTTTTCTGTAACTTCCAAGTGATTGTTCCTTCTGATCAGAAAGTAAAATAATATTAATTTCAAGTTTCATATATGTTTGAATTTCTCTAAACTCTCATACATTTTAACCCAAAAAGCATATTAGTCTTGATCCTCCCTTTTCGTTGATTCACTTTCGCGTCGTATAACTTTAAATGCCCGAATAAATTTTTAAATATGTTGCCTCGTAAGATAATTGCGTTTCAAATTTAATAAAAGCAATTTATACCACAACTATTTAAAGGAAGTATGTAGCCGCGATATAAAATATTTTTATCTTGTATGAACCAGATTGTTGCCATTTGACGAAGCTAGTTCATTGCTATTTTAAATTTAATCTATCTGTAATTTATTAACAAAATAAACAATTTAAAAACAATCTTTATTATTATTAACTACCACCAGCGGAACCACTGAAATTACGCTACCTGGATTTATTAAAAGCATTATATATATATATATATATATATATATATATATATATATATTGTTTCTTTTTTAGCCTAAAAGGGTTGTTAGTCTCCAACCTCAATTTGACATTGTATCACTTTAAATATCCGATTCACTTTCAAAAGAAAGACATACCCCGAACAACTTTCCCAACAAATAAATACCCCGATTTCCACTGACCGAATAGGAAAAGATTTTATCACGTAAAAAATATATGAGAAAGTTACACGAAAACAACGAACGAAATGGTAACAGCGAAGAACACCGTTCTAAAACAGTCATAACAAATCATCTTATGAATTTGCCCTGCACCCTACCCTCTCCATTTTCTTTCTGAAGGTTTTTATATCTGATATATAATGTTCCAATGTTATAAGTTATTTTCTCCCTCCTTCCAGCATGCCTTCGTGTTGTAACGGTAGCACACTCGACGCGTATTCGAGAGGTCCAAGTTCAAGTCCCAGCTAGGGCACTGCACATTTTTCTCATCTCCTGTAAAAAAAAAAAAAAAAAACCTAATGACTCTACAGTGGCGCACGAAATAAAATGTGGTGGATGATGATTATTCACCATCAGGATTTGATGATTAGGCCCTCTAATTCCCAGTCGCCCTTTAAGAGGAGGAGTATATAAGATATTTTCCCCCTTCTTTCTGCATGTCTTCGTGGTGTCACGGTAGCACACTCGGCACGTATCGAGAGATCCAGGTTCGAGTCCCGGGGAGAGCATTGCTCATTTTTCATCGCTCGTGTTTCAAAAAATACAAATGTGTCTACAATGTTAGTCTGAATATATATCCGTCTAGTATTCTGTAAAGCGTTTCGCTATTTCACTGAGTCCATTGAAAGTAGTGATGTTAGCGAATGTAGTGCATAAAACTTTAAAAAATGCTGTTTTGTGCGACATTAAAAATTTGGAAAATTAAACTTTTTTCAGATTTTTTTTAATTCTTAAGGTGTCCGACTAGTTTCGAGACACACAAATTTTGGTTAAAATAGTACAAATAAATCTATTATTTTAGCAGAATACTACTTAAAATCATCGAAACAGGTGATAAACATATTATCAAGATATAATTTTTGGATTTTTTTTGCATTTTGGGTTAAAAAATGTGTTAAATTTTAGGATTATTGGATATGTTCTCACAAAAATGTTTATCAATACATTACTTTTATTTTTGCCGTTTATATTTGTTAAGGTACAAGGAATGAAATGAATTAATATTTAATAAACAAGAATACACAAATGTTAAAAAAAAACGCCTCTTTGTACGCAACTTAAAATTTGAAACCTTTCAGATTTTCTTTCTTTTTTTTTTTTTTTTTTTTTTTTATCTTTTTTTTTTTCTTTTTTCTTTCTTTTTTTTTTGGGGGGGGAGGGGGGGGGAGGGGTAACGGAAAAGTTGAAAAAATCGTGTTTTTCAGAAAATAGGTTTAATGTAATGCAAACGCAAATAGAAGGAAAAGAAAATGTTGCCAAATATGAAAACTAAATTCGAAACTAAACTTGTTCCCTAGCCCTTAATAACAAACAGAAAGGTTCAAAATCATCTTTCGAACATCACCAAAAGTATTGAAACGGAAAATTCTCATTTTAAAATTTACTTAGAATAATTTGTGTACTTTTAGACATCGACTTCTGTGTTCTTAAACAGAAACTTCCGGTCCACGGTGTAGAACAAGAACAACCCTAATTCTGCTTCAAACGACCGGAGACACAAAATAAAAATAGTGTTTTTAAACTTAATTTATATGCTTTGAAAACTTAATTTCTATGCTTTGAAAGTAACAAAAGCAATTTTTTGAAAAATTTCATGAAAACTGCTGAATCGGATACCTTAAAAGTGTCTTCGTAAATCAAACCGGAAAGGCCTTCGAAAGACCATTCGCACATGCAATAAATACTTCCTTACTGATTGCTACATCCTTGACCTACGTATAAACAGCACTTCAGGCAACTGTTTCTAAACAAAGGTACGTTATATAATGTGCAATGTAAAATGAATAAGACCTAAATTTACAAAAAGGAAACGGAATGAAAAGGAAATCGTATTAAAAAATGCATATAGATGACAAAAAGAAATGCAACTTCAGTATCAGAAAGTGTATTTAAGACGGACATATGTCAATATTTTAGCAAATGAAAAATATTCCTTACGCTGTGATTAACAGCAATGCTGAATACAGTAGTTTGTTGTCATATAAATAAATAAATTCACATTTAATTCACTTCAATTGCATTTTTAAAATTTCTTTTAGGTAATTTTATATCCATGAGAATGACTAATATTTTTTGTGGAAATTCTTCCTACATTTTTAAATAAATTATTTTAATTATGGCATAGCTCACCTTAAGTCTAGAGCTAAATTCCTTAGAAAAGGTTTGGTTTATTTAATTATGGCGAAGCACACGTGGGTTATCCGCCTAAGAAAAGGGATAGGGAAGGGATGTGTTCGTGGAGGACTTTCTAAGGAGAATTGGATGGTATACGCGTTATACATGGGAAAACCATGAATACCCTCACGCAGCCAACCTGTTCACCGGGATTCGATTCCCGAACCGAACTACTTCTGTTCAGTGACCGCTCGGCTGTTAGTGGGCTCTTAAGGGGGAGGGAATACCTTTCTGAATTAGGCAAGTAAATAGCTGTGGTATTCCCCGTGTGTGACGTGTATGCGAGCCAGTTTCCCTTAGAAAGTCCTCCACGAAGACATTCCTCCCCTTAGGCATATAGCCCTCGAGTCTTTGCCATAATCACACACGCACACACACAAGTAAATAGCTGAAAGTAAAACTACTAATGTTCTCCTGTATAACTCATGACCATTTATGGATTATTTCCTTTTGCAGCTAGAAGATTAAATGTGCAATATGTTTATTATAAAATATTCTCCAAAAATAATAAAAAAAATTGCTTCATAAGTAACCTTCAATAGAAACAATGTAAATCTGGTAACATGTACTGAAAGTTAAAAAGTTAATTCTTAGAATTTTGTGACATAGGACTTGGCTCGGTATGATTCAAAATGTCTCTTTCAGGGGGAGGGTTTGAAAAAGCGTGATTTTGCAGCTAATAATTTTCGACAAACTCTAAAGCTATTGTTTTATTCTTGTATCCGTTAAAAAGTCTTCTTATTGCATGCAAATTATTAAAATAAACAATAAATCAAAATATTAAATATATAAATTTAACAAATATAACATTAAATGTAATATTACATGAGAAATCATCAAATACGTTATTATTAAGACTATTAAACAAATGAAAGTATTATAACTTACTTAGTTAATCAGACTTAATATAGAATTAAAGTATACTAAGCACGACACCTATAGCTTCGAGAAGAAAGCGAAGTGGATCCAAAAATCGGAACCAAAGGGAGATATGAAATACATAAGTGCTCTTAAATACATGTAGATGATTTATTAATGAACTCTGGCGGCAAATCATTAAGAATCATTTAAATCTCCAACAATAGACAAAGCTCTTTTTGACATCTCATGATCATAGTTACGCCCCTTGAAAGCAAAATATGACATATATCATTGCCACCCAATGTAATTCGGTGTTTCTGAGAGTTTTAGAATAGCTTAAACTATTCTATCGATTTCATTTCCTTGATTAAAATGAAAAATATTTAGCAGCTGTTTCATATCCTTTTCAATTGCCGAAAGAGGTTTTCCTTTTTCTTTCCGTCGGCAGGTACAAATAGTTAGGTTTCAAGAAGATACACTCACACAGTTATGAAAAAAATACCATACCGGGAAATATTATACTTAATTATTATTAAATATATACATTACAAAAAAATAGCTGCATACAATTAATGTATACAAATATACTGAAAGAAAATTAAGTCTAAAACTAAATCGCATTAGCTTTCCTTTTTATGCGATTAAGTTTTAGTGTTTCTAACTACTTTTTTAGCCCAAACGGCGTTAGCCCAGAAGGGCTATTAATTTCGTTTTGGCATTTTGAGTTGGTTCACTATAAATGTCGGTTCACTTTTCAAATTGTTGCCACCAAATATTAGAGCCCCGGATTATATTTTAAGAAATTAAATAATGAAGAATCTGCATAAATGTATATATGTTTCTCGCACTGGGATAAAACAACGGTACCTAGAACCTTTAAATTTTGAATAACGTAATCTTCTACCGAATATTGGCATCTGGAATGCTTAATTTGGAATTTATTTTATTATCGATTTCATGTTTTGTAACACTTTAAGGAATTTTTTATTAACAAACTCAAGGATTTCTAAGCGATTAATGGCAACACTGCACAAAAAAAAAAAAAAAAAAAAAGAAGACTCTTTATTTCCAACGCTCGAGACTGTGAATCGGAAATTCTTAAAATATGCTTATTTTTGAATAATTTTGCGATATTGCTGTTGAACTGAATTTTATGGTTTAAGTCCGACGAATATGATATTTAATAAATAACGTAACACACAAAGCGTTAAAGAAACGCCCCTTTAGTGGTAATAAAATCTGAAAACTTCCAGATTTTTTTTTGTTTTATTTATTTATTATGCCTAATTTAGTAGAAACCTTATTGAACTATGTAACGAGTGTGTAAATACAAAGTTCAGAGAAGGGTTAAACTCACCTTTCATTAACTCAGACTAAGAATACAGATGGCCTCTTTCTCAGGCTTACAGAAAAGTCTCTACTTGTGCCTTTAAATCAAAATAAGAAAATAAGAAACTAATCTAATGCTAAACTAAACTAAACTTAACCGAAGCTGTACAAAATTAGCTATCGTATTTGGCCCTTAATTAAATTAACCGGTGAATATCAGCAGGCATGTTCAATACTGCCAAGCTAGTTAGCTTTAAGCAACGAGTGACTGACGTGTGTTTGCCTTAGGCAAATACACGTCAGTCAGAACTTCTAATCTCTTTTGTTGAGGTAAGCGAAATCTTTCTTTAAATGCTATTTTCTGTCTCATTTACATGTAACGCGATACTAAAAATTAATTTTGGCAAGAATAGTAGGTGGGAAACAAGAATAGACGAGAAAGTATATTTAAAAATTAAAATAAGTGTTAGAAAGTTAAAATAACCTCTACAAAGTATTTAAAATGAAAACCGAAGTAGTAGTATTAACATAAGGAAGAGTAGCAAGATAGCAAGGAGAATATTTGTGTTCCTTGAAGGAGGGCTTGTGTCGATTTCTATCGAAATGTACAGAATCGTTCTATAAAATCATTGCTTACATAAGACTGAGTTTGGAATACAACAGTAACATACAGATATAAGGTACTATATAATAACAAATTAATTGGGAAAGATCATCAAGTTTCTGAATTGAGATGTTTAAATTATTTAAAAATAAAAACAATCGATAACACTTCTATCCGTAAACATTACCTTAAATTAGGGTAATAAATTGTTAAAATCCGTAACCATTACCCTAAATAACACATCTGTAAACATTACCCTAAATTAGGGGTATTCAACCCATGGCCTGCGGGCCACGGGTATCCCGCTGAAGGCATTTTAGTGGCCCCCACATTTAAATTTGAAGAAGAATTGAAGAATTTGAAGACATTTTGATTTCAAGAAAAATTGCCTTGTCAGCTTTTTGTCGTATAAAATTTTTTTTCTCTTATTCTTGATATTTAAAACATTTTATTGACATGCCTGATATTATTTGAGATAAAGTTTTCTGAAAATGAGGAATTTTTCAAAAATTTCACTTTATCTTATGTAAGTTATCTTATGTAATATGTGTTCCAACTGCGATTAGAATTTATCGATTTACAGTGACTCTGCAGTAAAATGCAAGTTTCTTGAAAATCCTACATTAATTGATTTTTATTCGAAGTACGTGACCGAAGACAAGTATCCAGGAATTCGTAAACATGGACTTTTCATGTCTTCTGTCTTTGGCAGTACCTACATATGTGAACAGTTTTTAGTGAAGCAAAAATCCCATAATCAAAAACAAGAACACGGCTAACAGACAGACATTTGGAGGAAACTTTACGAATTGCAACAACGCAGATTAAACTGGATATCGAAGCTTTAATCAAACAAAAGCAATGTCAAATTTCACATTAAAACTAAAGTAACTACCATCTCCCGCCATTTGCCTTTTTTCTATTGTCAATGCATTTTCGTTCTGTACAATCATTTTTACTCTTTTTTTTTCGTAGTTAAAAAGGTTTTAAAACATTTTAATTAATTTTCCATTTGACTTTTAGGAACCAATGTATATGTAATGATTTCAAATGCGTAGATGAAAGCAGTGGAACTCTCAACAGCTTACGATACTGCGTAGATGACCGAGAAGACCGTAGTGGCTTGAAGGTGGCAGAAAGACGTAATTTAGCACAACATATCTTGAAAAATCACAATTTTTATTCTTTCCATGCATATCAAATAATCCTTTTCAAACAAGATGTTTCCTAATTATATTTGAATACATAAATTGCAGTTTGAATTAGAACGTCATCTTAAGTAAGTAAGCAGCAACAGCATGGTTTAGAAACGTCTTGCTAGCAGGAAAGCTATGCGGTAAAAAGGAAAAGGTTATAATACTTTCATAGGAAGAAGGCTGGGAGTGGGAAAGTTTCAGTTCAGAGTTTTGGTTTAGAATTAATTTGATTGGACAAGAGGTATCTGCATTAAAACGTTACGTAAGATAGAAACTCTGGAACCTGTGAGAAGAGATGAATTTAGGGGTAGATCATCAAATTTAGAATGTTAATTTTGAGATCATCAATTATATTTTGAAACAGCTATCATATTTTGTTATATCTTACATACATATATGCAAATCTGTAACACTAACTCTTCACTTAGAATTAACTGTACTCTTGCAAAGCAAACTTCCCTTTTTTATATAAATTTTCTGACTACACTATTTTTTGACACATATGTGGCCCGCGGATATTTGTGAATTTATTGATGTGGCTCTCGGGCGTAAAAGGTTGAAGACCCCCTACCCTAAATGAATATAGAAATAAATAGAAGAGATTGGAATTTAAGCAAAAATACAAGTTTAGATTAGCGGAGATTTTGAATAAGATTGCTAAGGTTGCTAATCGAATCGCTGTTTTGCCTAATTTAAAATTTTGCTGCGATGCGCTTTTTTTTTTACAATTTGAATGAGAGTTTTACATTTTACATCATGAGTTTGAAAATTAACATTTCAAGCTCTTGGTTATTTTAAAATGTATAATATAACGAAAAGACTAGAAATATCTGAATTAATAAAATGATGCCTTAATGGAGGATTTTCTAAGGGAAACTGGCTGTTGTTACTTTTACACACAGGCAGAACCATTAAGACTTCCTGAAGCCAGCCTGTTCAGTCTTTAAGAGTAAACCACACACAAAGCTATCTAATCCAATATTTTGGTGTCCGCCGATAACATCGCGGCAAAAACATCGCGGACGAAAACATCGCGGAGAAAACAACGCAAGGCGAAAACGTCGTGCTACAAAACATCGTGGGAGAAAACATCGCAAAGAGAAAACATGGCAGTTCTAAAACATCGTGGTACAAAACATCGTCGTCGAAAATAAAGCGGTTCATAAACTTCGCAGTTTGAAAACATCGTCGTCGAAAATATCGTGGTAAAAAATAAAGTATCTACAAATCATCGCATGACGATAACATCGCAGACATGCTTTTTTTTCAGGTTTTAATAATTGTAAATAGATATTCCCATAATGATTTGTGAGCGCAAGGTATAAAGAAGGATAATTTTTATTTTCACATTTTTTATTAACTAATAAATTTTTTGCTGAAAAAGTAAGAAGGAAACTTAAGCATAGAAAATTAAATGCGTTTTATAGATTATACTTTTCATGAAAAATTACCAGTAAAAAACTTCATAAAAATGATTTATTAATGGCCTTTGTTAGTTAACTATGCCGGTTTAAAATTCTATTACTATAAATTCTATTAAATGCTATAAGTTGCATTAATTTCTATGCTTAAGTTTCCTTTTTATTTTCTCAGCAAAATTATTTAATTAATTAAAAAAATATGAAAGTAAAAGTTATCCTTCTTTCCATCTTGCGCTCACAAATCATTATGGGAATATCCATTTACAGTTATTAAAGCATGTCTGAAAAAAGCATGTCTACGATGTTATCGTCATGCGATGATTTGTAGATTTATTTTTTACCACGATAATTTCGACGACGATGTTTTCAAACTGCGAAGTTTTTGAACCGCTTTATTTTCGACGACGATGTTTTGTACCACGATGTTTTAGAACTGTCATGTTTTCTCTTTGCGATGTTTTCTCCCACGATGTTTTGTAGCACGACGTTTTCGCCTTGCGTTGTTTTCTCCGCGATGTTTTCGTCTGCGATGTTTTTGCCGCGATGTTTTCGGCTGTAACCAATATTTTAGATGATTCTATTTAATGTCACCTACCAGCTCTTTT